TAGTCTATAGGTGCTATATTGCCAAGAAATATAGATGCCAAAAAACTGCTTACAAGTGAGATTCGTTTAGTATCTTCATATGCGTGAGTACGTTGTTGGTAAATTTTACGTATCTGTGGGCCAGTAAATCTGGGATAGCATTTGGAACCAGTTATTCTCACCATTTCTGAAGCGCCACCGATAGCAGTCTCCATTTCAAGACACTGATTTTCTGTAGTACCATCCATCCATATTGGTGTACGTGTGACTGTAAAAGCTGAATCATCGATTTGTAAGTGCAGAAATTTATCTGGATCGAGATTTTTCAACTTTTGTATACCATACTGTGACCAGTAAAGTGAACCATGTTGCTATTAGGGAATATATTCTTATAATTATTATAATCAAAAAAGGTAAAATTTAATTTACTTACTTGTGCTGAACCACTTATCGCAGTGACTGTGCTTAAATCCGCTCCCTGCACTACTAAACGATCCAAAACAATGTCGAGTGCCTTAACCCACATAACTGGTTTCGCGAAAAATCTACACACCATAAAAATTATTTAATTATAAATGAAAGAGTTCACACGAGAATTAAAGATATAGTAAAGATTGGTTTAAAACTGACTCATTATTCAATTCACCAGCGTTAGCGCCGCCAGTGGTACGAAACTCTGGTAAATCGGTATCAAACTTCACTTCGGCTGTGGCCTTTGTCTCTAACTTTGCACTTAATTGGACTGCTTTTAACTAAAAAGTAAGAAATATCATTTTATTAATAGAAATAAATAAAATAGTAGAGGATTTATAGAGGATAGAGGATTTAATATATATTTACAAATCTGCGGATCTGACAGTTATAGATGGAGTAACAACGCCTCAGCTATGGGTACTCCATTCCATGAAATATTTTACTATCTTAATAAACGAAGGTTTCTATAAATTAGAAATCCACAAAAATTCTACTGAGAAAAATTTTTTTCTTAAGTAAGACAATATAATTAGCATTCCTATTTAATATAATAGAGCAGCTCAAATACTAAAACACAGTATGTGTTTTGTAAACTTTAATGTATGCAGCACGTATGGAAGACAGATCTACTTATAGTCTCACTCAAATTGTATCACAACATGTTTTGTGGTTAATTGAAGAGCGACTTAAAGCTTCGGAAAAAATTATATTCAAACAAACAATACTTCCGAAAATTGTCAATTTAGTAAGATGTCTAAAGAAGAATTCCTAAAGAAGTTTAAAACCCATGTAAGTGAAGTAATTAAAGAAATATATTGGTGGGAATGGAAAGTGAATATTTCTTCTAGTTAGTTAGTTAGTTATGGTGGATGGAGGAACGTGTCCTCCTCAATTAGCTAAAAAAGCCATTTTCAATCCACAAAACCTCATAATAGTGGATAGTAGAGAGAAGATCATACTATAACCAGCCAGAGGTATTAAAAAAAGCAAGAATCTGACCAATGCTGATGCTAGAGATTTCGCCGAATGTTGAAGAATGGGACCAAACCAGAACTTCTGTTTTATATAAAATATTCTGTTATAGAATATAGTTTTTAGTTTAAATTGATAATTGTGTTTTATTGTTTACAATTACAATAAAATATGCCAGTTCCATCACATGTCATTTGCGATTTCTTTTACTAAATAACTGGAAAAATACGTAGGAAGAAGTTTATAATATTCGTTACTGTTAAATTTGTTACTGTGCATTTAATTAATCATTTCAATTTAAATAAGAGCCATCACGCCTAGAAATTAACGATTAAACAACACGCAGACCTGCAAAACAACATTGCGTCACTTTCGTGGGCGCATTCTGGTAGCGTTGAAGAGATAACAAAAGACATACGTTTTGTTGGGTGTCATTGTGTCATCAATTTTTTTCGTATCAAATAAATAAAATAATTTAAATAAATATGTATTTCTTTAATATAACATTCTTTTAAATCTGAAAGGGTTTAAAACACACACATGAACGTTTGTACTTATCAAAAATTTAAATAATTGTTTGCATTAATTTGCAATTTATTTGTTATTAGCACATTTCTATTAACCCCAGGAGATAATTTCTTATCAGTTTTAAGTGTTTTAATTACGCAAAGTAAGATTTAATTCTTTGACCTTCAAATGTTGGTATTGCAATAAATTTCTATTGATGAAATAAATAAACTATCATATGTGATGTGAACAGATTAAAGTCAAAATCGGGCCATCATTTTTATAATCTGTTAATTATGGAGCGGTAGTACATTGTAGTTTAAGCTCATTCTTTGGTAGTTATTTGACTTTAGTAAGGTACTATTAAACAGCTTCAAGTAAAAAACTGGAAAACACCAATTAAAGAAATAATTAAAAAGAAAGTTAACACACATAACAAACAAAATTCTAAAAACATTGACCCATTATAAGTCTACTATAAAGAACAAGTATATGCTTGTAGACTATTTATCTTTTTTATATATTATCTTATTGATATAACTTAATATTAGTAAATATGTATTTTGTTCTTGAAACATATTGAATATAAATAAACCGATATTTATTGATCTCATAACTTCACAAACACCAAAAATGCCGTCACTATTTCATTAATAATAAACAAGTTCGGCATGCACTTAATCCGCGTGTAAATATTTTATAATTTTATTGTGTGTTTTAAAAACGCATATTTTAATCGATTATTTAATAATTTTCATTATATTCAAAATAATTAAACAAATTCTTTAAAATAAGTCATAACTGTTAACTGATTCCCAAATATGTTTACCTTTTGCGTACTCAGATCAAATCCCAAGTATGTTCCTTTCTCATCCTTTTCCTGTCGTGGTGGCATTATAATATTGTAATAATATAGTTTAAATATTTTAAGAAACCAATTTTTCCCTAATAATTTAGTAATAACCGACCCTACTCATATGACGCCCGCCATAGAACTTCCACTAACTTCGTTCACAACTAACTCAGCTGTTGCAGAAAACCTTAATAAGAAAATCAAATAAAAGCCTAGCATAAGCAAATTATACGCACTGTCACCTAATATAAACAAAAGTGGTGAAAAGTTAATTAAAAATGGTGAAATAGTCTTATATGCCAACATAGATAAGACATATATAATATAAATTTAAAAATTGTTTAATAATAAATTTTATATTATATATTATTATAAAAGTGCTCTCGAAATAAATCTCTCGTGAACTGCTGTTGAAAGGTGGAACTTTGGTTGTTATTTTTAATAACAGTTACTCAAAATTAATTACTCAAAGAGATGGTTTAATTAATTTAAATAATAAATTTTAACCGATTATATCAAAAAATATTTTTTTGCATTTTCTTTCGATACTTATTTTAATTGCAATTGGCAATTGAGTTTACATCACTTACTGGAATTTCAACCAATGAAATTTAAGACTGCAATCGTTTATTGAAATTTAATTAATTTTGAAATACTTAGGATGTGTGCGAGTTGATGGCTAAGTTGATGCTAAACCAAATGGGACTTTTCTTGGTATTTTTTGCACTGCACACATTTAGCAATTTATCAACAGCAGGTATCAACACATCACTACATTATCGCCACAACTTAGAATTTCCCTCATTTAGAATGCAACTTAGCCTAACTCGCACACGTCCTAAGTTGCGTTCTAAATGAGGGAAATTTTAAGTTGTGCCGATGTAGTGATGTGTCGATACGTGTTGATAAATGGTTAAATGTGTGCAGTGCAAAAAATCCCAAACAATCTTCCATTTGGTTTAGTATCAACTTAGCCTAACTCGCACACGTCCTTAGTTGCATTTAGAATATCATAAAATTGGAGAATCAAATTTTGTTTTATTTTTGTTATTGCATATAAAGTTTGTGTGGGATTGTAGATAGATAAACAATATTTTATGGCAAAAAATAATATTGCATATCTATGTGATTTTCAATCTTAAAAAACAGAACAGGTTTCATTGCCTGAAATTAAAAAGGTGTCAGCATTTTACTGTTGCCCTATCACTTCTGTCATAAACAGATTTTAAGTGACAAGTTATTTATAGTAATAATATCCATATAGTTACAGTATATTTAAATTTACTAGGCCTTATAACACGTTTCAATCCTGTTGAAATACCACACTTTTAAGATATTTAAAATAGGTTTGTTATATCGATTTTTCTAATAAATGTTTGATTTTATACACAAATCAAACATTTTTTATGCAAACTAAGTCAATCTACAAACAAATCAATGAGTTTACGCAATTATATCATTTAATACGTTTTATGCAAATTTAATCATAAATTGCAAGCAAAAATTAATTCGCTTATGTCAAACTATATTTTTGCGTTGCATTGTGTCCCATGCATAATGAATATATTAAAAATTTGTACTAATTTCAATCGTACCGTATGAAACTATTGGAGCCTGCACCAAGAGTTTTTCGTTTTAAAATTTTGCCGGCGTCAGATTTCTTGCAAAATTTGTTGTTCTTGTTCAATTAAAAACGTGGTTAAACAGGCGTTAATTTTATTTAGAAAAAAAAAATATTTATCAAAATGTCTGATTGGGAAGATGATTCGGAACCGAGTACACACGAAAGAAGTAAGCCTAAAACTTATACTGAATCTCGTAGAAGCCAGCAAGATAGTTACTTTCCTTTTCTGGAACGTGTTTCTGGAAACCCAACATATATTGGTGCTTTAATTGGACGGAGTGGATCAAATATAAAAAAAATACAATCCGATTTTAATGTTCGGGTTCAGATTGAAGAACAGACCAAAGATATTACTGTTAAAGGTCGTTATAGAGAAGATGTCGACGAAGCTATTAAAGTTATTAGTAAAATTATGTCTGGAGAAGACTCAAAATTTAACGGCACATCAAGTCGTGACATGCACACTAAACGTAAAGCTGATTACGGTAAATCTGAATATGATAAAAGAGATTACAATCGTGGTAAAGCTGAATATGGTAAATCTGAATATGATAAAAGAGATTACAATCGTGGTAAAGCTGATTATGGTAAATCTGAATATGATGAAAGAGATTATAGACGTGGTAAAGCTAATTATGGTAAATCTGAATATGATAAAAGAGATAACAATCGTAATAGCAATTCTCAAAATCGGTACAGTAACAATGAATATTATTCCGGAAATGACGAATTTGAACCGATTGATTGGACAGCTGCAAATAGCAGAGCTGTAAGTACAAATCTGAAAAAAATAATAAACAATCAATTTTTAAAAATTAAAACAATCCGCTTATATTATAAATATTGCGTTTTAGGAACAGAAAAATGATACGGACTCGAAGTATTCGTTTCCTAAAAATGATTATTCTTTTGGAAATGATGATTTTGAACCAATCGATTGGGCAGCTGCAAATCGTAACGCTGTAAATATTAAATAATGAAAACTACAGAAATATGTTTTAAATATTTAATTTCTAATATTAATATTGTTCATATGTTAATATTATATATTTATTAACAGGAAGAATCTCGTAAAGCGCGATGGGCAAATGCTCCAAAACTGACAAAAGATTTTTATCGTGAAGAGTCAGAAGTTGCTAATATGACGATGAAGGATGTGAATGAGTTGCGTCTTTCTAACAATAACATTACCGTTTCTCGACTCATAACAAGTAAAGATGAAAAGTTTGATGACATTCCTAATCCAGTTTGGAAATTCAAGCAATGTTTTAAAGATTATCCTGATCTTCTGGAAGAGATTAATAAACAGAACTTTACTGAACCCTCTCCAATACAGAAGCAAGCATGGCCTATATTATTAAAAGGAGAAGATTTGATAGGTATAGCCCAAACAGGCACAGGTAAAACCTTAGCATTTTTGCTTCCAGCTCTGATTCATACTGATGGTCAACCGAAACCTCGCAACGGTCCGAACATATTAGTACTGGCACCAACGCGAGAATTAGCACTACAAATAGAAAAAGAAGTAAACAAATACTCGTTCCGTGGAATGAAAGCGTAAGTTGGGAAAAAAATTAACTGATACGTACTATGAAAATAAATTTGTGATTTTATATAGTGTATGTATTTATGGTGGCGGTAGTCGACGTGATCAAATTAATGATTTTCAAAAAGGTGCTGAATGCATTATTTGCACACCTGGACGACTCAATGACTTAGTTCAAGCTAAAGTTATTGATGTTACAACCATAACATATTTAATATTGGATGAAGCAGACCGTATGCTGGATTTGGGTTTTGAACCACAGATTCGTAAAATTTTACTTGATATACGTCCTGATCGACAGACCGTTATGACTAGTGCTACATGGCCTGCAGGTGTTAGAAGACTCGCAGAAAGTTATATGAAGGACCCTATACAAGTGTATGTTGGTTCGCTCGATTTAACAGCAACACATACAGTAAAACAAGTTATTGAATTCGTAGAAGAAGACCAGAAATTTAATGTGGTAAAATGACTAATAAACTTAGGTATTCTAAACGCAGTTAATTTTATTTGTTCAAGGTCTTAAGATTTTTAAAACGATTAATGGGAAGTGATAAGGTTATTATTTTCTGTGGTAAGCGAACTCGTGCTGACGATTTATCCAGTGAACTTTGTTTGGAAGGCCTTTCAACACAATGTATACATGGATCACGTGATCAGGTTACTAATATATATATTACCTATTGTTACGGATATATACTCCAAAAAAAATTTTTACATGAAATTATATAATACAAATATTTTTCAGGCCGATCGAGAACAAGCAATTGCTGATATATCGTCAGGTGATATACAGGTGTTAGTAGCTACAGATGTGGCTTCAAGAGGCTTAGATATTGATGATATAACGTAATTGCTTAGTAATATTTATTATAGAAAAAGTTTAAAATGTTTTTTTTTAGGCATGTTATTAATTTCGATTTTCCACGTAATATTGAAGAGTATGTTCATCGTGTTGGTAGAACTGGACGCGCTGGGCGATCCGGCACTTCCATAAGTTATATAACACGCTCAGATTGGGGTATTGCAAAGGATCTCATTCGTATTTTAGAAGAAGCTGGTCAAGAAGTTCCAGAAGAACTACATAGAATGTCCAACCGTTTTGACGAGATGAAAGAAAGACGTGGTACAGATTTTAAAAGGGGTGGTCGTTTTAATCGCCGTTACTAAATAATACTTTTTTAAACATAGTACGAATAATCACTATTAAGATTAACATGGTAACAGCGCACCTTGAAAACAACATTGCATTTTGTTTTTCACATTGCAGAGGTAACATGTTATTCGATAAACAAGATCGTAAATAACCCTGTTTGATTCGAACCGATCAGTGTTATACTTAAAAGAACGTTGATCGTTAAAATTGAAAATTAATTAACAAACTATTTCTAATGTTATTAGTATAGTAATGAACAATAAGAAAAATCTGAAATAAAATTAGTTACAAATATGTATTATTTAAATTTAAATACAAAATTACATTTTAGAATAAGGTTTTAAATAAGAAATATTTAAAATATGTTTTTTATACAGTGAACTTTGTTAATTTAATAAATTTAATCAATTACAACTTTATGATGATTCTATTGTGTTCTTACTTTTTCGTTTGTAAAAGTTTCAACTTTTTCCTGAAAATAAGATATTTTATTTGAAATTTTTTTAAGATGGAGATTAATTATTTGTACAGGCAATGATGTGAGTTAAATATTGTAATCGCTATATACGATTTTTAATCAGAGGCTGATAAAGTCGATTAAATTTCTGTATTAGTAAGTTTTCTAGTTGTTCCATTTAAAATGAATTAGTTTTAATAGGATTCATAAATGTATTTGGATGAGGTATAAAATGAACTTAATATAAAATATATATTTATTTCACATTATACATTTTTAATTTGAATGTTATTTTAAACAGACAATTGATAGACAATTGATCACTGCTTAAGTATAGTACTGTAGTCAAGTCAAGGTCAAGTCAAGCCAATGAATGCCATTATACTAACTTGAAATCTTTACTATCACTTCGAATGATCATTTCTCACTAAGCCATAGATAAGACCTCCTAAGAAATAAATTCATCTGATCAGTTCATAAAATTATAAACAATGTCAACATAGCGATGGCGAAGATCGTTATCGATGTCATTTGAAATAAATCTTTAATTTAATTAATTTAAATAATAAACGTCATTTAATTTAATAAAATTTGTTAAAGTTGTATACATATTTATATAATCTTATATGAAATATTTAATAAAAGTAGCTATACGCAGATACATGTTTCCATGGCTGTCTGATTAAATGGAAAAGAAAGAAATGAGAAAGCACGCTTTCCAAATATTGATAAATTTTTATCTGTGTTGAGAGTTGAACCACAGTATCCTAAATATTGAACTAAGCTCGCTTTAGATGGTGATTGCAGACGCCAATAGAATTGTGAATTGCAATCTTTTGAATTGAAATGGCATATCCGTTAGAATTATTGGATTGCGGAGATTAAAGACATCTTTACCTTTGAGAGAGGTCTGTAATATTTGTATGATTAATATAATATTGTGATATATGATAATTGATACTCCGATTTTCAATCACAGTAAATGGGGTAGAGTCGATTACGGTTAGAGTGAATTAAAAAATTCTGTTTGATATTTAATCCGTTTGTATGATTTCTTATTTACATGTCGGTTGCTAATTAACAGAATTTCAAAGTGAATTGAGTAGCTCTTCAAAATGATGTAGCATTTATCATTATCATTTTGGAATGAAATTATTTCTCAATATTTTATAACACTCGCGACAAAAGATTGGCCATTGACAAATCAATAGACACAAAAGGGAAAACCAAACGATATATTTTGAATAAATCACCGCCTATTGCACAAAATATATAAAAAATCATTAACATAATTATTAATATAATGAACTCAAAAACAATCCGAGCTACTCTGACGAAATAGATCTTTAATTTTGAGATCTCTAGTTGCCTCTTTCTCCGCAAATTTAGCAGATTTTTCATTTACGTTGGTATCAGGTACAGGCACAGGGTTTTGACGACGTATTCCAGACGTAAGTGCTTCCAAAATTTCTTAAGAGATCACATTTTTGTTTCTTTCCACGACTGATCTCTGTTTGACATTAGTATGACATTTTTAATGTTGTACCTTTTGCAGAAAGTTTTATGGTATATTGATTCTCAAACCAGCTCTTACTTGCATTATAAAAGACATGTTTGTCGTTTTCTTCACTGTTAAGCAAAACACGATCAGAAATACGGCTGGGTCGTTAATCGAGGTTACTGTTGTACGAAGTAGCTGTTAATCGAGTTATTAGTGTATAGGTTCTTCTGAGACGCTCTTCTCAGAATGCTAATCGGTACATTGTTCTTATCAATGTAACCGTAATTTTATGAATTGAATTTGATATGATTATATGAATTTGATATGAATATGTCAGAACTTTGTAAACTTTTATAATTTAACACATGTAGTATGAAAATAGTATGTGGGCTTACCTATTAAATAGTGTGCTAATCCGATTTATCCCCTTGTGAAATTCATTTGTGTCCAAAAAGTCTAAACCAAATTAATATAGTTACATCACGCAAATTTGAGTATGGGCTGCCAAATGTATTTATATTAATTTTGAAAGAACGACACAAGTTTTCTTGTTCATTGGTTACTTTTGCAAGAGACGAGTCGGTGGTCGGATCGTTTTTTTAGCGGCTTGTGTTTTTTCAATTGGATTTGGTTTTAAGGCTGGTATGTATCTTCCTCCAAAAAATTCGTGTTTCGTGATTCATGATTCGTGATTCGTGATACTTGATACGTGTTTCATGACTTCAGTTCGAATATATGTTCAACTTTTTTCAATTAATTCTGGAACTTGTTAAAAATATTTTATAGTATTAAGAATTTTTGATTTGTTTTCGCAACCGACAAGAACTTGAAACAGCCGCCAATTTTGCTTGTTCCAAGAAATAACTGCAAATATAATGCACATATTAAACAAAAAGTTTTAAAGAAATCATTGTTTCTTTATTTAAAGAATTTTAAAACTATAATTAAAAAACAAAAATTAACTATAAAAAAAAATCACTGCAATTCACATATATTTAAGGTTATGTGACGTATTTGCAAAAAAAATCTCCATTTGAAATATTTATATAAGAATCATTGCGTGATGAGACTTAAGAAGGCGGCGGCAGTATTATTTTCGACATACTTTAAACATAAGAGTGCAATTGCTTTATTCCCTAATAATCAATGTTAAAAAACATATTTTTAATTTTAATAGTCAATTTTAAATACCGTTTCATATGTTATGATTGAGGAGTTCGTAAAAGCGGTCGTGATTTGAATGTTTGAAATTTGGTTCGTTTTATAGAAAACGGAATAATCAGGTATTCCTTTATTTAGATTTTGCTTACTTCAAAATGGATACTTTTGGAACTGGTGCAACTCAATCTGAAAGGAACGAGTGTGGAGTTTTAAACTCAAACTTAAATCATTTTGATGATTTTATGGAGAAATTTCCTGCAGACCCTGCTTACATTGGTGCCATAATTGGTCGTGGCGGTTGTAAAATTAAAGAAATTAGAACAAACTTCAACGTTTATATACATATAAACAATGACACCAAGGAAATTTCTGTCAAGGGTCGTAATAGAAAAAATGTTGACGATGCAGTCAAATATATTCGTGATATTATGTCTGGTCAAGAAAATAGAAATTTTTCATTTCCAAATCACGAAGTCTCGCACAATCCCAAAGTTGTATTAAAAGAAAATACAATGAATCGTTTTAATGCTTCTTCCGAAAATGACAATATTCAGGTTGCAGCTCCAAAATCTGTAAGTATAAATTAAAAAGAAGGAGAATATGGATATATATTAATATAATATCTCATAACAAAATTGATTTAGGGAGAAAGTGGTGGAATTAGATTAAATGCGCCTACGAAAAATGTATATAATGGTGGCGCCGAAAACCATGTAGTATTGCAGCCTATCGATTGGGAAACTTTGAATAGAAAAGTTGTAAGAAAAATTTTTAAAATCTACATATTAAGTTATCGATTTACCATATTTATTTTGCTCACATGAGGCATTTTTGATTACAGGAAGAACATCGTAGGTTACACTGGGCGCATCTGCCAGACTTGAGAAAAAATTTTTATGAAGAAGTAGAGGAAGTCGCTATTAAGACAGAAGAAGAAGTGAATGAAATGCGTTATTTAAACAATAATATAAGTGTTTCCCGTTTGGTGACAAATGAAGATCAAATGTGTCCTGATATACCGAAACCAATTTGGAAATTTCAACATTGTTTCAAAGATTATCCTGATATCCTTGATGAGTTAAAGAAACAAAATTTTAATGAACCATCACCAATACAGAAGCAAGCATGGCCTATATTATTGAGAGGCGAGGATATGATAGGTATAGCCCAAACAGGGACTGGAAAAACTTTAGCATTTCTGCTTCCTGCTTTGATTCATACTGATGGACAGACTACACCACGTGAGAAACGTAATGGTCCAAATATATTAATTTTAGCGCCAACGCGAGAATTAGCATTACAAATAGCAAAAGAAGTTAACAAGTACTCGTTCCGTGGAATAAAAGCGTAAGTTAGGAAATAGTTAAACCATAGTTTAAAATGAATGAAGAAAAAAATTATGAAATTCTTATTCAGTGTATGCATTTATGGTGGTGGGAATCGTCGTGACCAAATTAGTGTTTTCAAAGAAGGAGCTGAATGCGTTATTTGTACTCCTGGACGTCTTAATGATTTGGTTCAAGCTAAAGTTATAGACATTACATCAGTTACATATTTAATACTAGACGAAGCGGATCGTATGCTGGATATGGGTTTCGAGCCACAGATCCGAAAAATTCTACTCGACATACGTCCTGACAGGCAGACCGTCATGACTAGTGCCACCTGGCCACCAAGTGTTGGTAGATTGGCCGAAAGTTATATGAACAATCCTATTCAAGTGTGTGTTGGTTCGCTTGATTTAACTGCCACTCATACTGTGAGTCAAAATGTAGAACTCTTGGAGGATGCGGACAAATTTAATACGGTAATATTATTTGAAAACTTAAATAAGAAGAATTATGAAGAACAATGTATTTATTCTTGTTGCAGGTCCTTGCATTTTTAAAAAACCTTAAATCAACCGATAAGGTTATTATCTTCTGTTCTAAGCGAGCTCGTGCTGACGATTTGTCCAGTGATTTATCTCTAAAAGGCCTGTCAACACAATGTATACATGGTTCTCGTGATCAGGTACATAATGCATTAACTTAATTAGAGTAATGTCTCAGAATATAAAATTCTTATAAACTTAAAAAAAATTGTCTTTAGACCGATCGAGAACAAGCACTGGCTGATATAGCGTCAGGTGATATACAGGTTTTGATAGCGACAGAT